TGGGGGGGTTCTGTGGGATCCAGGATGTGTTATATGGGGCTGGGGGGGGATCTATGGGGTTTGGGGGTGATATGTGGGGTTTTATGGGCGTTATATAGGGGCCGGGGGCGTTACGTGGGGTCTGGGGGTGTCTGTGGGGTTTTGGGGCTCAGTGGGGCAGCTCTGACCCCCCGCTGTCCCCAGGATGGAGGAACTGGGGGGGCTCTCGGGGGACCCCGACACCCCAGCGGCGGCTGAGGCCAAGCGGTGAGGGCGGCCCCCCCCGCGGTGTCCCCACGGTGTCCCCGTGTCCCCACGTCCCCACCGCGTCCCCATACCGTCCCCACATTCTCACCGCGTCCCCTCGCTGTCCCCAGACCCGACGTGCCCGCGGTGGCCACACGGTGTCCCCACGTCCCCATATTCCATCTCCCAGCGATGTCCCCACCGTGTCCCCAAGTCCCCGCGTCCTCACGCCGTGCCACGACGGCCCCACACCCCGTGATGACCCCGCTGTCCCCATGTCCCCGTATCCCATATCCCCAGATTGTCCCCATGTCCCCATAACCCATCGCCCCATGATGTCCCCTCACTGTCCCCACACCCCACTTCCCATATCCCATACCTCATACCCCACAACCCCCGTATGTCCACACCTCATATCCCATATCCCATATCCTATAACCCACACCCAATATCCCACACCCCATATCCCATACCCAATATCCCTATATCCCACACCCCACACCCCACAGCCCACATCCCTGCTGTCCCTGTAGGGCGCTGGCGGAGCTGCTGCCCCGCTGGCTGCAGGATTACCCCGAGGATTTTGGGGACGCGGCGGCGGCGGCGCTGGCGGAGCGTTTGGGGTCGGCTTTGGGGCCGGATTCGGACGTGGGGCTGCGGCTGCGGGAGCTGCGGGATCCCCCCGAGCCCCCCGAGCCCCCCGGGGACCCTTATGGGGTCGGGGACGGGGACGGGGACGCCGACCCGCTGGAGATCCTGTCCTTCCAGGCGCAGGAGGTGGCCGAGCAGCTCACGCTGACCGAGGCGGTGAGACCCCACAGCCGCCCCACATCCCAAATCCACGGGGCCCCGTAGCCCAGTGTCCCCATGTCCCCATATCTCCATGTTCCCGTATCCCAGTGTCCCCATGTCCCCATATCTCCATGTCCCCATATCCCAGTGTCCCCACGTCCCCATATCTCCATGTTCCCGTATCCCAATGTCTCATTGTCCCCATAACTCCATTGTCCCCATGTCCCCATGTTCCCATATTCTATTGTTTTCATGTGCCATTGTTCCCATGTCCCAATGTTCCCATATCCCAATAATCTTCCATTGTCCCCACATCCCAATGTCCCCATATCCCCATGTCCCCATTGTCCCCGTATCCCAATGTCCCCATAACCCCATATCTCCACCATCCCAATATCCCCAAACCCCCATATCCCCCCATCCCAATGCCCCCATAACCCCAT